TACCCATCAGACAAAGGGCTAACATCTAGAATCTACAAAGAACTAAAGCAGATTTACAAGGAAAACACAAATCCATTCAAAAGTGGGCAAAGGATGTGAACAGATACGTTTCAAGAGATGACAAATATGTGGCCAACAAACATATGAAAAAATGCTCACCATCATTTGTCGTTAGAGAAATGCAAATCAAAACCACATTGAGATACCATCTCAAGCCAGTTAGAATGGCGATCATTAAAAAATCTGGAGACTGATGCTGGAGAGGATGTGGGGAAAAAGGAACACTTTTACATTGTTGGTGGGAGTGTAAATTAGTTCAACCATTATGGAAGACAGCGTGGCAATTCCTCAAGGATCTAGAAATAGAAATTCTGTATGACCCAGCAATCCCATTACTGGGCATATACCCAAAGGATTATAAATCATTCTATCATAAAGACACATGCACATATATGTCCACTGCAGCGCTGTTTACAATAGCAAAGACCTGGAACCAACCCAAATGCCCATCAATGATAGACTGGCCAAAAAAATGTGGCACATCTACACCATGGAATACTATGCAGCCATAAAAAAGATGAGTTCGCGTACTTCGTAGAACATGGATAAACCTAGAAACCATCATTTTCAGCAAATTGACACAAGAACGGAAAATCAAACACTGCAGTTTTTACTCATAGGCAGTTGATGAAAAATGAGCATACCTGGGCACAGGGAAGGGAACAATACTCACAGGACTAGGTTGAGGGGTGGAGGGGAGGGGAGGAGAGGGATGGCGAGGCGGGGCTGCGGGGAGGATAGGGAGGGATAACACCAGGAAAAACACCTGATGTAGGCGATGGCGGGGGAGGGGGGAATGGAGACAGCAAACCACCATGGCATGTATGTACCTATGCAACAATCTTGCAGGAAGCAGGAAGTGCATATGTACCCCAGAGCCCATATACAATAAAAAAAAAGTTTCACGTTCTTTTCTGAGTACTACCCCCCTGGGTACATGCTTATTAGAAAAAAATATGGAAAAGAAGGTAACAATCACCCAGTATCCCCACTAAATCATATTATTATGAATATTAAGGGAAAATCTTTTCAGGGGTAGTTCTATGAATTATATATGCATATATAATTCATTATTATTCTATATTATTGCATAATTACATATTATGTATATAATATATAGTTCTATATAATGTATTATAGTAAAATTATATAATCATTTCTTCAGCAAATACTGCTATCACAGTTGCAATATCTTTTTTACTGTTCTAAAACTATATATAATTCCGAAATACATCATGTATCTATTTACATATAGAAAGAGAGAGATAAATGAATGTTTGCACACTTAGTGTTACGAACATCTTTCCATGTCCAAAAATCTGTTAGTTTCAGAAGTGGAGAAAAACAATTTTGAGCGACAACGGATACACATACATCTTAAAGGGACAGAATGAGGATTCACAATTGTAAGCCCTTTTTAGTAAATGCTCTAAGAAAGTGTGGTTGGGGCTTATCACAGATGGCAGTTTGAAGAAACACTGAATTATTTTGGCAGTCTGGAGCTTTCTCAGGCAGGTATTTTAAAGGAGGCTGGGTCTCCTGTCCTAGGTCATCTTAGGCAGGTCGTCTTGAGCTAACTTAGCTAAACTAGCTAGAGCTAACCTACTCGAGGTCTTGATTTTTTCCACACCTCTCCCTACATTAAAAGACTTAAACAGACACTAACCCAGCGTCTAGGTTTTTGCAAAATAATCTGTAGCTGTGACAAATCAAGGTTGGGGCCTAGCCAAGAAGAAGGCTCAGAGGGGCCTGGCTGGAGTTTGAACCAGGAGAGAATCTTTGCCAGTGCTCGCTAACATGGGACACTGACATCTTTTTAATGTTGACCACGCCGACAACAAGAAAAAAAACACCATTGATTTTATTTGCACTTCCTCAAAACTAGTAAAACCGAACACCTTTTATATATTTCTTGTCATCTGTATTTCTTATTTTGTGAGTTGACTATGACTTTTACCCATATATTACAAATATTAATATATTTGTATATTAACATACATATTTGTAATATATGAGTATATATATTAGAAAGCATATATTACAGATAGCTATTTGTCAGTTGCAAATAGCTATTGTTTACTGATTTGTAAGAGTTAATTTTTTAGTTTAAGAATTTAAAAACTTTTAATATATTTGGCATTAAATTACCTACCTTGGGGCACATTTCCTTATAGACTCTCAAATACTATTCCTGTGCCTCTAAGTGTCAACTCAAGAAAAGTTTTCAGCAGCAAATTCAGTCAGTCCAACTACTCTCTACCCCAACTCTGTTCCTGAGGCTCTGTGAGACTAGGAGGCCACTGTGGGACCCTGGCTCTTAAATGTAGGTACGCAACTCTAGACATTGGAACAGACACATAAGCTGAACCAGCTGGGCTTTATTGAGATCTGGCCAAGCCTCTTCCTCTCCCTGTCCCACTCCCTCCCTCAAGGCAGGAGAGAGCAAGGAACAACCGATGATACTGTGTTAGAATGCAAGTCCATCCCAAAGAGCTGTCTACCCACATATTACTTCTAGTTGATACTTTCACGGATAGAAAGCCCTGGAGTCTGGCTTACAGATAGGTTAGTTTAACAGATTCACAGCCTTGTAGAAAAATAAAGAGAGAATATAGTTGGAGGACTCATTTGGTCCACCTCTGTCTCCTATCATAGAGGTTAGCGGGGGCTTGTGAGCTCCTTAGGGGAGGTGGGAGACACCAAGGGCCAGCCCTGTAAAAGCACAGCTTTCTCGAAGATCACAAGGAATGTTGGTCTTCTGAAGTCACTCTTTTATATTTATATCTATATCTATATCTCTATATATATATATATACACATATATACATATACATATATAAATTTTATTGTGTTTTAGGTTTTGGGATACATGTGAAGAACATGCAAGATTGTTGCATAGGTACATACATCCTTTGTAGGGACATGGTTGAACCTGGAAACCATCATTCTCAGCAAACTGACACAAGAACAGAAAATCAAACACCGCATGTTCTCACTCATCGGCGGGTGTTGAACAATGAGAACACATGGACACAGGGAGGGGAGCATCACACACTGAAGTCACTCTTGAGGAACGATGGAATGGCCAATGAGTTCTGAAGCAAAAATAGCCTCACCCCAACCCCCACCTTCAATAAGTGAGAATATCTCATAAATCAAAACTATAACACAGAAAAACACTTTCTTCAAACTGAGAATACGGAAAGGGTCGATCCATTCACCTGAAGTTTGGAGAACATGATACCAGGAAAGGATCACTGATCCAACGGGAAGGAAAATGCGTGATAAATTCAGCACTCGATAATACTGACTGTTCTTATAGTGCAGGCGCTGCTTTCGCTTCCCTTACCTGTCCTGTTCTCGCCAGTGAAAAGTGATCTAAGAAGAGTAACTGTCGTAGCAGTATTTGCTGAAGAAATATCTTTCGACAACTAGAATGACTTTGAAATTGAGTTATCACTTAGGATATAAGTAAAGGAAGGGCATATAGAAACTCTTGCTGTGTTTCTAATTTTAATTTTTCCTCAAAATATTTAAAACTTGTAGGCCAGGCACGGTGGTTCACACCTGTAACTCCAACATTTTGGGTGGCTAATTCAGGAAGATCACCTGAACTCAGGAGCCCAAGACCAGCCTGGGCAAGATGGTGAGACCTTGTCTCTACAAAAAAAAAAAAAAAAAAAAAAAAAAAAAAAAAAAAAAA